TGGTGGTGCTGCTGCTGCTGCTGCTTCTGCTGCTGCTGCTGCTGCTGCTTGTTGTCGCTGTAGTGGTAGTTGTTGTCGTGGTGCTGCTGGTCGCCGTGCTGCCCCTGGTCGCCGTCGTGGTGGTGGTGGTGCTGGTCGCCTTGCTGGTGGTGGTGGCGCTGCTGGTCGTAGGCGTGGTGGTGGCGGTTATGCTGCTGCTGCTGCCGCTGCTTGTTGTCGCAGTTGTGGTAGTGGTTGTCGTGGTTCTGCTGGTCCTCCTGCTGCGCCGGCGGGCGGGCCCCCGGGGTGGGGCCGCGCCCGTTCCACCGCATCAGAAACACGGCGGCAGTCGGCTAGGGGCCGGCGTCTCCGTGTAGCGGGCGTCCGCCAGGAGGTCGGCAAGGTGCGGCTCGTCCCCGTCGACGGCCAGGGTGTGCGGCGGCAACTCCAGCAGCGTGGCCACGAACGCCTTCTGGGCCGCGACCGCGGCCAAGCCTGTCCAGCGGTGTAGGTACGCCGCCCACGCCGACGCTCGGAGTCGCTGCGACGCGCTGCGGGCTCTGGTCCTGGCGAGCAGCCGGGCGAAGGTCAGGGCCTCCTCGGACCACCTGCCGCCGACTTCCAAGCCCAGCACGACCAATCGGCATCTCCTTGACCCGATGCGCTCGGGGTAGGTCGCTTCCTTCCAGCCCCGCGCGACCGCGAGCTGGACTCCTTCCTTATCCGCGGCTCTGGGCTGCGCGGTGCCGTCGGCGCGGACTGGCGACACCAGGGTCGCGTCAATCGCCAGCTGCGCTCCTCCCCAGAGCGGCAGGCCGTTCGCGATGACCTCGATCTTGCGCCCGTCGCGGGGGTCGACGCCGTCCACGTTGAGGTCTCGCAGGAGCTGGTTCTCTGCGACTCGGCCCCTGGCCTCGCGGCAGATACGTGCAGCCGCTTTCTCCAATGGGATGGATCTCTTCTTGAGCACCCCTGCCCTTGGGCACGCCGCTCTGTGGTCACCTCTGGCGTCCAGTCTGCCTCTGCATCTGCAAGCGCTCGCTGCGAAGGGTAGATCAAATCGCAAGCGCCTGAGGAGCAGGACTCTGAATTCTGCCGGCGGGATGTGGAAGTCCCCCGTCGTGGGCAGCGCGGTGAAGGCTCGTCCCGCGCACGGCCCGCTCTGTGACCGGAGGAGGGCGCGGTCCGGTGGCGTGGAGGCGTTGAGGAGCTGCTGTCGGGCTGTGTTCTCCAAGACTCTGGCGGCCCAGAACTGCCAGCCGTGCGCCCATTCGCCGTGCTCCCGTTCGTGCGTCGGCGGTGGCCGGGCGCCCTGCGCAAGGTCGTGCCAGTTGGGCGCGGCGAAGCCGTGCGCCGAGAGGTGCTCCTTTGCCCTGCTGGCTTGTTGTAAGCACCCGGGAGCGGCCGGCAGCGGGCCCCGGTCCAGCTCGCTCAGTGCAGCGCAGATCTGGTTTGTGAGCTCGGGGCAGCGTTCGCGGAGCATCTGCGCGCAGTCTGCCCAGGAAGCCCACCAGGCCGCCGGCGCCGTCCTGGACGCGCTTCGCAGGCCGAGCCCTCCCATGCAAAGCGGCAGTTGGCAGCGTTGGCGCGCTGACGTGCCTTCTGCGACAGCTTCTTGCGGGAGTTCCAGCAAGTCGGCGAGCGCGTTGGCCAGGTTGTCGTCGTGCGCTGCGGCGAAGGCGGCCGTGTCCTCGGGAGCCAGCGCCCTCAGGAAGAAGTTGGCCCGGGGGTTGGCGCACGTGCTGAGCAGGAGCCACGAGGATTGCAGGTCCCCGACGTGTGGTATCCTCGCGAGCAAGCGGCGGTGTTCTTCCAGGATGGCCTCCAGGTGTTGGGCGACGAAAGCTCCGTGGCCTATCGGGGCCCCCAGAACGACCAAGCCCTGGGCTTCCGGCGGGGTGTCTGCTCCTCCTACCCACGCCCGGTCTGCTGCTGAGCCCAGCTCTCGGATGCCAAGTGGCTCCTGCCCTCCCCTGTTCCAGACTCGCGTCTTCCCCATGTTCACGCTGATGCCGCAGTGCGCTTGGAGGGCGCCCCGCACGGCGTTGAAGAGGAACCTCGCTCTGTCTGGCGTGGTGACCAAGTACACGTCGTCAAGGAAGGCGAAGATGCGCTCCCCGGGCCGGAGTATGCCTTGGACCTGTTGCAGGGCGGGGTGTTGTCCCAAGGCAAACAGGGCTGGCATGAGCGGGTCTCCTTGCTCTCCTCCTTCCGCCTGGTCGATCGCGCGCCCTTGTCCCGCGTCGTCGTGCCACCAGTGCTGCGACCTTTCCCCGTAGAAGAGGCGGCAGAAGGGAAGCAGTGCGCTACCCCTGGCCAGGTTTGCTAATCCTTCGAGCATTGAGTTTCTGGACATGAGGTCGAATGCCCCGATTCCGACTATGGAAACCACCGTGGCAGCCGGGTCGCCCTGGGTGAGAGTCTGCACGAGGTGCGCCACGCATTCCGTGCCTGCTCGGGTCGAGAGTGCGAACTGGAAGGGGGCAGTCGCCTGCTCGACCTCTTCGCCCACTTGCTGCGCCAGCGTGCGGGCTACCAGCCGCCTGAAGACGTCGCCAGTCACGATGCCTCGCACCCTCCCGTTGCTCTTGCGCAGCGCCGTGAGGCGGCCGAGCCGGAGGGCCTCTGCCACGGGGCCAGGGATTTCCGCCCTCGCAAGGAGCGTGGCAGCGTGGTGCAGGAGGTCGCAGCAGTGCTCGTCGTCCAGCAGCGTCTGCAAGTGTTCTCCCGTCATCCCTGAGGGGCCCGGCGCAGCGCCCCGGCGGTGCGTACATTCGTTGTAAACACGTACAACGGTGTCACCGGTTTTCAGCGCCGCGCACATTCGTTTATACAAGTTGTGGATACGCATGGTCCAAGTACCAGATACGATGTTTGGACGGATTCCGGATTTTGCGGGTGCAACAGTTACGTGGGCTCGCGGTGGTGGCGTTGGAATCTCGAGAACAATGTTTCGGCATGCTTTAGGGTCTTCACGCGGTTGCCTGCCAACGAGGCAGTTCCCTCAATTGAAATGAACCGTTGTAGGGCCTTGCGAAGAGGGCCTATGAAGGGGGAGCTTGGAGGGAGGGTTTATTCCAACATCGTTGCTGGCTCTTGGGTTACACTGGTCTTCTTCCTCCTCCTCCTCCTCCTCCTCCTCCGCCCCCTCCCCCTAATCCATCCGTTTTCATCAAACAACTCTCCATGCCGCGCCTCCGGACGCGTCGGCAAGGTGGACAGCGCGTTTCGCCTGATGTTTTCTCACCGTTTCTGATCCCGAAGCTGGATAGTCGCAGCAGTTTCACGGGTGGAAGAAGGTTGTTTTCAACGTGTTGTTCTCCCCCAGACTCCGCGCGCAGCCACTGCTAAGAATTTGCAATCGTTTATCGCGTAGAAGGCGGTTCCTCTTCAGCCTGTGGCCCTCGCTTCAGCGCTGCGCACATTCTTTGAAATTGTTTGCAGCAGCTTCACGGCTGGAGGGCGTTAGTTTTCAAATTGCTGCTCTCCCCCAGACGCCGCGCGCATTCATCGGCGGTTCTTTTTCAACATGTGGCCCTCGCCTTCGCGCCGCGCATAGTCGTTGAACAAGCTCGCAGCAGTTTCAAGGGTCTGCGCGGTTCATGGGATTCAGGGCGCAATCGTGAGGTCCCAGGAACCGCGTTCTGGCACGATTTAGGTTCGTTAGGGCGCAACCGTCACGTTGATTCGCGGCGGTTAAATCGCAGGAGCACCGTTTTGGCACGATGGAGGTCCGAGAGGTTTGTATTTCAACGGGGCACTTCCGCAAGTGAGATCACTCTTCGAGGGGCCAATCAAAATGGACCAGGAAGGGGGGACTATTGCAGCATAGTTGACGCGTCTTGGGTTTGCGCTGGTCCTCCTCCTCTCCCTCCCCCTCCTCATCCTCCTGCTCCTCCTCCTCTCCCTCTTTCGCCCTCCTGCTTTTTCGCGTGCCGCGCGACTCGGGGGCCGAGTAGCTATCGGAGCAGCGTTCGGCGAATTGGTTGGCGTGAGCTGTCGTGGAAGGCGCGCGCCAGTGAGCTAAATTTCAGCGGAGCAGCGCGCGGCACGTCCGCTGAAAGACACGCTGCGCCTATGAGAGCCAGGCGCGTTAAATGCCGCGCAGAAGTTGAGACATTGGCGCGCAGAGGTCTAGCGACGCCCTCGGGGAAGGCGCATTCCAGACATCCGATAGGGGGCGGCCAAATGCGAAGGCCGCGCAAAGAAAAACCGACCCGACCCGGCCATCATTCGGATTGGTTGTCACCGTTGGGGGTCTGGCGCGGCGGGCGCGGCGGCTCCCTGCGATGGCTGGTTGCCGTCAGCCGTCAGGACTGAACCGCGGGCTGCGCCTCGAAGGCGATTGCAGCGCGTTCGTTGCATGTCCGAATTGGCGGCTGCGGCGAGCAGGGCATCGGTAAGGGCGGTGCCTGCTTCAATTGTTTCGCCCGTGAGTGATGGGTCTTCTGCGGCGGCAGGCGTTTGAGAGCTTGCCTAGCAGCCATCCGACCGCGTAGATTCGAGGCGAAGAAGTCAGTTTCTTGTGACTGATGCGGCGCTTCCACGTCGATTTCTCCGGTCTGGTCGATTTCGGATACCTTTGCCGCTGCCCGATCGCACTTGGTAGCAGGCCGCCATTTTCAATTATGCGCAGCACCCCGCAGTTGCAGATGAGTGAGGGGGCGGCGGGGGCGTCGGCAGTCTGCGAGGCTGTTGGCGCGTAACTTTTATATAAAAAGTGCAGCGGGCCCGCCGCTGGGGCCGATCCTGTCGTTAAAGGTATGTGGGCGGGTCGCGGGGTGGGTCGCGGGTGGGTCGCGGGTGGGTCGCGGGTGGATCGGGCCGGGTCGCGGGCGGGTCGCGGGTGGGTCGCGGGTGGGTCGCGGGTGGGTCGCGGGTGGGTCGCGGGCCGGGTCGCGGGGGGGATGGCGTCAACAGCATAGATAATCCGCATTGTAGAACCTCGCATCAGCCTCGCGCCCAGGGACAGTGAATGACCGGACCCCTCACCCTGATTTTTGTTTCTGCGGGGCGCAGACATGTTCGCTGCGCCGCTGGGCACGTGGCGGCCCGAGCGCGCCCTCGACCAGAGTGCCTCATAAAGTCTTGCCCCGGCCGCCAGGGATCCCAGTGCCGCGCGTCGCGCGCGGGGCGATCGACATAGCGGCGAAGCGCCGAGGGTAAATCGATCGCTTATCCAGCGCAGACGTGGATTGAAAGCCTCGCCAGTGGGCGGGTGCGCGGTGCTCGCTCTGAGCGCCGCCACTCCGCTGGACCCAGGCATCCGCTGTTTTGAGATCATGTCTATCAAGCGTTTGCAGATATCGACGGCCACCTTGAAGGGATGCTTCGCGTCTGGGCGAGATGGGGTCGATCTGATCGATGAGTGCCCGCGGTCGGCTTGCCCGATTTGGTGGCCATTTCTTCTGCCGGGAGAAGGCTTGCCTTCTTTCGTCTGAGGGAGGAGCCCCGAGGACAATCGTTTCAAATGATATTTTTCCTCCCTGCGTCTCGCTCTCTGTTGATTCACGCGCGGCCTCGCGCCCCCCATCCTGAGCGGCGTTGCGCGAGCATTATGTCCAGTGGCGCGCGGGCGCGACGCTGCTCAGTCTGCTTCAACTGAACGCCTTGATCCGGGCAGTTGGCCGCGGGGCCTCCTGGCTGGATGATAACCCTTCTTCTCTCCTTTTTCGTTTCCGCTGCCATCCGCTGTGCCGCGCGCGTTGCGCGACCGGGGCAGAGACGGGGGCTGCGCATCGCAGGGGCCAGTCCTCGTCACCCCATCCGCCCCCCTCGCGCCGCAGAGGCGACTGCGACTCCAACCCCTGGGGGGGGGAGAAGTGCCGTTGCCCAGCAGGTGGCGAGGTGATGGGCGTCTTCTGCGACCGCGCCATGGGCCATGGTCTGCGCCTGTCGCGGCGACAGGGCCGAACGTCGCGGCGCCCTGCGCGATCGGACCCCTCTCGGCGCCCTCGCCGCGCTGACCGCGCCCGGGCGGAGCTGGGGCGCTCGGGGCTGCTGCTCTCTCGCCCCGCCCGGGAGGGCGCCCCCAGAGGCGAGCGGGGCAGGCCTCGGGGGGGCGACGAAGACCGCCGCCCCAGCGACGCCCTCCTGCCCTGGTGGCGCGACGGCGCGGCGGTCGCCTGGAAGTCCGCCGCCGCGCCTGGGGGCGCGCGCCGAGCGCGCCGACGGAGCGGCGCGAGATTGTCAACGAGCAGCGCCAGGGCACCGTGCGCCAATGCGCCAGGCAGCGCTTTGCCCTTCACCCTGTCGCCTTTCTTCCCATGGTGGTGGGGGCCCGCGGCGGCGGGCGGGGCCGCGAGGCGCGCGGGGCTTTCGGGGCCCTGACCGGGCGGGCGGAGGAGGCCACGGCGCCGCAGTGGCAGCGGGCCGTCGCGCCCGGCGATCCTCAATGGCGGGGCGGGGCGCGGCCCGCCTCTGCCCGGCGCCCCCTGCCTGTGCCCGCTTCCAATCTTGGCTGAGCAGCATCCGCGCTCCTCGCCGACGCGGGGTTTGGGGCCGCGCCCCGGTGGGGGGCGCGTCCGAGAGGGCCGCCGCCGACCAGCCGCAACGCGGCAGGCCCCTCTTCCGCGGGCCAGCGGCGGGCGGGCCCTGGCTGGGCGGGGGGCGCGCCTGCAAGGGTCCATGCCGACCAAGCCGCAACGCGGCGGCTCGTCTCGGCGCGCCCAAGGCCCCCCGCCGCGACGACCCCCCCTGACGAAACCGACGACCACCACCCACTCCAGCACTCACTCCGCATGCGCCGCCTGTTCGGCGTTCAGCGTGGACCCCCCTGGAGGTGTTGACCCAATACCAATGTGTTTTTTCGGCGGCCCCAGGGTCTGGTGAGGGCTCTCAGGAGGCTAGATCTTGTCCATCGGGGTTTTTGGTGCGATGCGCGGGGATGTCTGGGTCCGGGGGTGAAATGTTGCCCCCTGGACCGGTCCCGGAGTCCCTGCAGACCAGGATCTCGAGGCGGATCCGTTCGTGGCCACGGGGATGCCCAGGGAATATAGACAGATTACCGTGGCGACGTACCCAACCCCTGCTCAATGCGGGGCAGGAGAAGCTTGGGAGATTTGACGAGAAGGCGGCGACGTGACATGGTCGCATATATTTTTGCGAGCGGTATTCAAATTCGGAAGTTTCGCAGGCCCCCCTTCAAGGGACAACGATGAGTAACTAATTGGCCCCCTGAGTCACTAAGGGAGACGCAAGGTCCAAAAGGAGATTGTGGGCAACGGGCGCGAACCGTCGGCGGGGCAGCAACAACATGACATGGCCGCTCAGGGACGGCGAGGTCCCGCTCAGGTCCGCGCAGTGCCTCACTCCGCTGGACCCACCAGCAGCCTTCGAAAGTGGCGAGCCCACCAGCAACCCGCGAACGTGGCGACAGTTTCGCAGATCGCACCCCCCCAGGGACGGCGAGGTCTCGCTCAGGTCTGCGCGGTGCCTCACTCCGCTGGACCCACCAGCAGCCCTCGAAAGTGGCGACAGTTTCGCAGATCGCAGCCCCCCAGGGACGGCGAGGTCTCGCTCAGGTCTGCGCGGTGCCTCACTCCGCTGGACCCACCAGCAGCCTTCGGAAGTGGCGAGGGCAGGAGGAGGGAGGAGGCGGGAGGAAGGACGCGCGAGCAGTGCTCTATTCAAAACGAATACCAAAACAAGGAGGGTTGGAAACAAACAGTAATTTGGCGGTTTGCGTGGGCGGGATTCTTCTGGCAGCGCCAGCTGGCGGAAGTCCTGGACCCGATACGTCGGTTCATGAGGCGAGGGGGCCGGGCGAGGCCGCGAAAGGAGCGACACCGAGCCGTTGGTGGACATCTTCAAAGGCTCTGGGCTGAAGCAGCTGGTGTACATGTCTTCGGCAGGCCCGATTCTTCCGAGCAGGGGCAGGGAGGAGCAGGAGGAGGAGGAGGAGGAGGAGGAGGAGGAGGAGGAGGAGGAGGAGGAGGAGGAGGAGGAGGAGGAGGACGAGGACGAGGACGAGGACGAGCAGGAGGACGACGAGGGGGCGGAGGAGGAGGAAGGTGAAGGAGAGTGGAGGAAGAGGAGGAGAGTGGAGGAGGAGGAGGACGAGGAGGACGAGGAACGAGGAGGAGGAGGAGGAGGAGGAGGAGGAGGAGGAGGAGGAGGAGGCGGAGGAGGAGGAGGGAGGAGGAGGAGGAGGAGGAGGAGGAGGAGGAGGAAGAGGTGGAGGCGAATGGGGGAGGAGAAGAAGGAGGAGGAAGAGGAGGAGGACGAGGAGGAGGTGCAGAAGGAGGAGGAAAAGGAGGATAAGGGGAGGAGGAGGAGGAGGAGGAGGAGGAGGAGGAGGAGGAGGAAGGAGGAGGTGGAGGGGGTGCCGATGCAGGAGGAAGAGGAGGAAGAGGATGAAGAACAAGAGGAGGACGATGATGATGATGATGATGATGATGATGATGATGATGATGATGATGATGATGATGATGATGATGATGCTGATGCTGATGCTGATGCTGATGCTGATGCTGATGCTGATGCTGATGCTACTGATGATGATGCTGCTGATGATAATGATGGTGCTGATACTGCGGCTGCTGATGATGATGGTGATGAGGATGATGATGGTGATGCTGATTCTGATGATGATGGTGATGATGATGAAGATGACGATGAAGATGAAGATGGTCATGATGATGACGATGATGCTGATGATGAGGATGATGATGCTGCTGATGAGGATGATGATGCTGATGCTGATGATACCCATGATGATGGTGACGACGACGATGTCCATGACGATGATTCTGATTATGATGATGATGATGATGATGATGATGATGATGATGACGCTGATGCTGATGATGATTATGATGATGCTGCTGATGATGCTGACGGTGATTATGATGGTGATGATGATGACGATGATGATGATGACGATTCCGATGCTGCTGATGATGATGATGCTGATGACGATGCTGATGATGGTGATGCTGATGCTGATGATGAGGTCGATGATGATGATGATGGTGATGATGATGATGATGATGATGATGATGATGATGATGCTGATGCTGATGCTGAGGATGATGCTGATGATTGGCGATGCTGAGGATCAGCATGACCATTGATGCCGATAAAAATGATGATCACGGTGGTGATGATGATGTTGCTTCTGAAAATTATGCTGATGATGATGCTGATACTGATCCTGATGCTGATGATGGGGATGATGATGGTGGTGATGATGCTGATGATGGTGCTGCTGACGATGCTGATCTTGATGCCGATATTATCGATGCTGCTGGTGATGATGATGAGGATGAGGATGAGGATGAGGATGATGATACTGATGATGAAGATTATCCCAGTGCGACCCTACCTAGGAGTTGGAGCCCCTAGGAAAGCAGCATTAGTAGTATCAGTAAAGCTGAGGCTAAGCTAAAGCTAAGCTACAGCTAAGCTAAAGCTAAGCTAAAGCTAAGCTAAAGCTAGGCTAAAGCTAAGCTAAAGCTAAGCTAAAGCTAAGCTAACGCTAAGCTAAAGCTAAGCTGAAGCTAAGCTGAAGCTAAGCTGAAGCTAAGCTGAAGCTAAGCTGAAGCTAAGCTGAAGCTAAGCTGAAGCTAAGCTAAAGCTAAGCTAAAGCTAAGCTAAATCTACGCTGAAGGTAAGCTAAAGCTAAGCTAAAGCTCAGCTGAAGCTCAGCTAAAGCTGAGCTGAAGCTAAGCTAAAGCTAAGCTAAAGCTAAGCTAAAGCTAAGCTAAAGCTAAGCTAAAGCTAAGCTAAAGCTAAGCTAAAGCTAAGCTAAAGCTAAGCTAAAGCTAAGCTAAAGCTAAAGCTAAAGCTAAAGCTAAAACTCGCTAAAGCTAAAGCTAAAGCTCCCAGGGGACTGGGGGAACCGCGGGGCGGATACTGGGGGAATCGCCCTGGCAGGTTCCCACTGCCCGGCCCTTTAAGCCAAGCGAGTAAGAACCCTTCTAGGCAGAGCCTAGGTAGGGAATGATGATGATGATGATGATGATGACGATGATGATGATGATGATGACGATGATGATGATGATGATGATGATGATGATGATGATGATGATCATGCTGATCATGATGATGATGATGATGATGATGATGATGATGATGAGTTTTATGATGATGATTGTGCTGTTGCTGCTGATGATGATGATGATGATGATACTGTTGAGGATGATGTTGATGATGATGACGGTGATGCTGATGCTGATGATGGTACTGCTGATGCTGCCGCTGCTGATCATGACGATGATGATGGTGATGTCGATGGTAATTGTGATAATGATGCTGATGATGATGCTGATGACGACGATGATGATGACGATGATGTAGATGATGATTATGATGATGCTGATGATGATGACGACGCTGATGACGATGCTGATGCTGATAAGAATGATACGACTGCGGCGGCTGCTTTGATGATGTTGCTGATGCTGATGATGATTCTGATGACGGTGGTGATGATGATGCTGATTGTGAGGATGGTGATGATGGTGAGGTTGATGATGCTGATGACGCTGATGATGCTGCTGCTGATGCTGATGATGCTGATGATGATGATGATCTCGATGATTATGATGGTCTGATGATGCTGATGATGATGAGGATGATGATGATGATGATGCTGATGATGATGATGATGATGATGATGATGATGCTGATTCTGATGATGATGATGATGATGATGATGAGTTTGATGCGGAGGCTGATGATGCTGATGATGATCATGAGGATGATGAAGGTGCTGCTCATGATGATGGATGCTGCTAATGCCTATGATGATGACGACGCTGATGCTGATGACGCTGCTGATGATGGTGATGATAATGCCGAATATCATGATGATGATGCTGACGATGATGATGATGATGATGATGATGCTGATGATGATGATGATGATGATGATGATGCTGAGGACGATGATGATGCGGCTGCTGATACTGATGTTGCTGATGGTGTCGATTATGAGAATGATGTTGATGCCGATGCTGATGCTGATGCTGATGCTAATGCTGCTGCTGCTTCTGCTGCTGCTGATGCTGATGATGGGCCTGATGATGCTGATGAGGATGACGATGCTGATGATGACGAGGATGCTGATGATGAGGATGATGCTGATACTGATACTGATAATGATGATGTTGATGATGCTGGTGATGATGACGAGGATGCTACTGATGATGTTGATGATGATGCTGAGTATGCTGATGATGCTGATGCTGTTGCTGTTGATGTTGATGATGCTGATGATGATGATGATGATGATGATGATGATGATGATGATGATGATGATGATGATGCTGATTATGATTGTGGTGATGATGCTGATGATGATGCTGATGGTGATGATGATGATGAGGATGATGATGATGAGGAGGAGGAGGAGGAGAAGGATGAGGAGGATGAGGAGGACAACCGCTACATGCATCATTACTACGCCTTCCCAACGCAAAAAAGGAGAAGGGGAGGCGGAGGAGGAGGAGGAGGAGGAGGAGGAGGAGGCGGAGGAGGAGGAGGAGGAGGAGGAGTAGGAGGAGGAGGTGGAGGAGAGGGGGGAGGAGAGGTGCTGAAGAGGTGGAGGATGATGCCAACCTGCTTTGCCGCGGAAAGTTGTGGAAGATGGCGATGGACGATTTCGCAAAACGGCAGGACGTGGGCGATACAGTAGCGGGAGGCGGGGGCCAACATAGCGACGGCTCAACGTGTGCGGTGGGGGGGAGGATTGGAGGAGGAGGAGGAGGAGGAGGAAGAAGAGGAGGAGTAGGAAGAGGAGCAGGAGTAGGAGGATGAGGATGAGGATGAGGAGGATGAGGAGGGGGACGAGAAGGAAGACGGACAGGAGAAGGAGGAAGATATTCAAGCATAACAATAATACTACAAACAATCAATAGTAATACACATAAGTATGATACTACCAAGACGAATACTACTAATCATAATATCGGTAATACGTGTATCACAACTAATAATACGGCTACTATGAATAATAGTAACACGATGAGAGTAATAATAATAATAATAATAACAATAATAATAATAATAATAATAATACTAATAATAATAATAATAATAATAATAATAATAATAATAATAATAATAATAATAATAATATTAATACTAATAATACTACTAATATCAATAATAATAATGATAATGATAATACGGCCGATAATAAGAGGGACGAGGAGGAGGAAGAGGAGGAGGAGGAGGAGGAGGAGGAGGAGGATAAGCAGGAGACGGGGACGGAGACTGAAGCGAAGGGCGGTGGGGTGGTGGTGACCAGCAGGACGTGGAGGGATATAGGAGTTTGAAGACGCGGAGGAGGGTTAGGCGGACGAAGAGCAGGAAGACGAGGAGAAGGAGGAGGATGTGGAGGAGGAGGATGGCCTTTTGGCAGCCGCTTGCGATAGCCAATCTTCTGGTACACACGGACGGTAGCACGCGAGCGGGGGCGTGTTCTCCGCAGCCTGGTGCATCGATGCCGTCGTTCGAAGGAGGGTCAACGCAGTGACGGTCCCACTTATACTGAGAGGGGGCACTTCTCTTCGAGAGCCGATGCCTCTCCTCACTACGGAGGCTATCGCTCTGGACAGAGCTGTCTAGGCAGCGATGGCCATCTCAACTGCAATCATCAACCAGCCGTCATCTCCATGACCCTGGCCACGCGAACACAAGAACGAGCAGGACGAGATGGAGGAGGAGGAGGTGGAGGAAGATGATGAGAGGGAGGATGCGGAGTATGCGGAGGAGTCTGCGGAGGAAGGGGACGAGGAGGAGGAGGAGGAGGAGGAGGACGTGGGGGAGGAGGAGGAGGAGGAGGAGGAGGAGGAGGAGGAGGACGAGGACGAGGACGAGGAGGAGGAGCAGGAGGAAGAGGAGGAGGAGGAAGAGAAGGAGGAGGAGGAGCAGGAGGAGGAGGAGGAGGAGGAGGACAAGTTTGGTGCGCTCGCGTCAACGTCTGACATCCTACCCCTCCCTCCCATCCCTTACCATGGCGCTGATTTTCTCTATCCGCGGACGCGTGTCGTAGCGGACCTGTGGCTCCGCGCGCGTGCGCGTAGTGGGTGGTGGTGGGCGTGCGTGCGTGCGTGTGCGCGTAGTTGTGGTTGTGGTGGTGGTGGTGGTGGTGGTGGTGGTGGTGGTGTGTATGTGTGTGTGTGTGTGTGCATGTGTGCGCGTGTGCTGTGGTGTGACGTGGTGTGGCGTCTTGGTGGTTTGGTGGTGGGCCAGGTGCGTACGTGCGTGATGGCGGTGGTGGTGGTGGCGGTGGTGGTGTGTGTGTGTGTGTGTTGTGTGTGTGTGTGTGTGTGTGTGTGTGTGTGTGTGTGTGTGTGTGTGTGTGTGTGTGTGTGTGTGTGTGTGTGTGTGTGTGTGTGTGTGTGTGTGTGTGTGTGTGTGTGTGTGTGCGTGCGTGCGTGCGTGCGTGCGTGCGTGCGTGCGTGCGTGCGTGCGTGCGTGCGTGCGTGTGCTGTGTGTGCGCGCGTGTGATGTGGTGTGACGCGGTGTAGCGTGGTGGTGGTGGGTGGGGTAGTGCGGTGGTGGTGGCGGTGCGCGGTGGTGGTGCGCGTGCGTGCGTGCGTGCGTTGGTGGGTGGAAGTGGCGGTGGGTGTGCGTGCGGCGGGGCGGGGCGTGGCGCGGCGCGGTGGTGGCGGGCGGATGGGCGCGCGAGAAGAGGCCCGCGCTGGGGCGAGAACGCCATCCTGAACGACGGAGGCAAAATACCGATCCGAAAATGAGGCCCACGCTGCAGCGGGAGCACGATTCGGAACGATTCGGGAGCAGAAATGAGGCCGGCGCCTCAGCGAGAGCAGCATTTTGAAAAAAACGCGGGCGAAAACCCAACTCCCGGGAATCCGGTGTGTAAAAAAACAGTACGCGGGGGGGTCTACCACTCCCTGGACGCCATCAGGGGAAGAGGGAGAGTAGTATTCATATTGAGTAACTGTGGAGGAGAAGGAGGGTGAGGAGGAGGAGGAGGAGGAAAAGAAGGAGGAGGAGGAAGAGCTGGAGGCCCAGGCCCGCCTGCCGCGCGCAGGCGTCTACCTGAAGACGGACGAGATGCCGCACCTGGAGACGCAGGTCGGCGGCCTGGCTTGTACGCAGCGCGGCCTGCCCGAGACCCACTGCGTTCCACGCTCGGCGGCGCCCACGAGGTGGTGGCGCGACGGGGGGTGGGCTTCTGAGGAGAGGCGGCGGGCCTGCTTACAGGGCAGGGGCCGTCGTGGAAGGTCCCAGCGGCTTCGGAGAAGCCGGCGGGCTTCGAAGAACCCCCCTGCCTTCCTGGAAGCTCACCCCCCTCGTGCCCCCCCCCTGGGCGCCGCCAACACAAGGCCACCCCTCGGATCTAACCCCGCCGGTGCTGCGGCCACGCCACAGGGGGGGGTGGCGGTAGTTCGGGATCGCGCGCCTTTTTCTTTCGTTTGTTTGCGCTGCACGGAAGGGTAGCAAGAATTGAAAAACAGCCCGCCACGGCACGCGCCATGAGTAAGGAGAGAGGGATCGTGCCTGCTCGTTTTTTCCCTCCTCGTCTGCGAGCCGCGCGCTGCCGCATGCTGTTGCTCCTGCGGCGACTGCGCGCGTCTGCGGTCTTGCAGCCCGCTTCACGCTCCGCTTCGCCGCCCAAGATCTTGCTGCCGGGGGGCCTCTGGCGGAGAAGTCGGAGCGTTCCCCTCCTGCACCCCGTACGACGGTGCCCCCAGAAGTCGTCCCTGAAGACCTTCGCGGCGAAGGCGTTGACGACGGCCTCTCCTGAGATCCTGTTGCTTGGGTTCCGACGCTGCCCGGCTGCCATTGCTTGGCTGCGCACTCGTGGCTCGCGCGCAAGACTCTATGGGGGCAACAGGACTGAACAGTGGAAGCGGTGCGACCCTGGTTGATGTGTTATGTGTTTGATGGATGCATGCGTGTGCACTGCGGTACTGTTCCAGCGCCGCTCTATAACATACATGCGGATCGTAGTGCAGCATGGGGAGCGCATGACACAACACCGCCTATCATATCATGCCGCCATTGTGTTTTGCACCATAGGCGTATATGGCATAACATAATACAACATAACATTGCAAATCACGGCAACTTATACAATCAGGACTGCGTGGCGCAGCGTTGCACATGGTGGCGCACCGTGGCACCGCACACCACGTCGCAGTCTGTCATGACCCGAATCGCACAGCCCCGCATCCAGGCTGCAGCGCAGCATGGCGCAGCATGGCGCTGCACAGCCAAGCGCGCAGCCAAGCACACAGCACATCACGGCACAGCGCGGCACCGCCTCGCGCAGCCCTGCCGTTCATAGCACATGCACGCGTTCGGAGCCCGCGCCCGCGCCCGCGGGGATCCTGCCAAATGGCGCGCGCGCGCCCTTGGCAGCGCTTTCCCTCTTCGAGACAGGTCGGAGCCCCACTGGGCAGGCCCACCTGGGGAACAAGTGGAAGGTACACGACATTGCAGAAACATGCGCTTTCGGAGGTTCGTGTTGCTTTCTTGGATCTGCGCTGCCCCCCCCCTTGGCGGCGCCTTGGCGCGCTCCGCGCGCCAGGGAAGGGGGTCCAGCGCACGTTCTATTAAAATCGCACGTGCGTTCCAGGACGAGGATGCGGCGGGCCAGGAGGGGAAGGAGTAGGGTAGCTTCTAGGGGGGGGAAGAGGCGGGGAACTATCCCACAGTGAGGACGCACCTGTGTCCCGGGATGAGACTTCGGCAGGGTAGGAGGAGAATGAGTAGGACAGCCAAGTGCAGTTCGTTCTCGGTGTTCTTGTTGCCAGGCCTAGCCACGCATGACGGTTTCATTTCGTGGCGTGAGAGAGAGAGAGAGAGATAACTATACATATATATATATATATATAAATAAAGAGAGAGAGAGAGAGAGAGAGAGAGAGAGAGAGCAAGAGAGAGAGAGAGAGAGGGAGTGAGAGAGAGAGAGAGAGAGAGAAAAAAAAACGGTTTATATATGTAGAGAGAGAGATAGTTATATATATAAAGAGAACGAGGGAGAGATGGCTCGGCCTTTAGACGCGCGCGCCCTTTCCTCGGACCTTGCTACGCCCTGTTGCTGCGCGCAAGGCCGCGACGCCAACAAGTGTGTGTATAGGTATGTGTATATATATATATATGTGTATATATATATGTTTACATATATATATATATATATACATATACATCTCTCTCTCTCTCTGAGAATGGGGGGTGAGATCGCAGTGGAACGGAGATCCCCAACCGGGAAATCGTTTCGTTTCTTTCGTGTCGTGCGTGCGGGGGAGGCGAAGCTGCGTGGGCGCGCGAGAGGAATGAACCCGCCATTGCTAGGGCGAAGTCAAGACAAATGATTCTCCCCCTCCCGCCCGTCCGGCGGTGGCTCGCGGTGTCCCTTGGTGTTCCGTGGTGTCCCGTGGTGTCCGTCGTTGCTAGGGCGAAGTCAAGACAAATGATTCTCCCCCTCCCGCCCGTCCGGCGGTGTCCCGCGGTGTCCAGTGGTGTCCCTTGGTGTTCCGTGGTGTCCCGTGGTGTCCGTCGTTGCTAGGGCGAAGTCGAAACAAATGATTATCCCCCGCCCGCCCGTTCGTCCGTCCGTCCGGCGGTGGCTCGCGGTGGCTCGCGGTGTCCCGCGGTGTCCCGTGGTGTCCCGTGGTGTCCCGTGGTGTCCCGTTGAGTGAGATCGATAGTGAGATCGATAGTGAGATCGATAGTGAGATCGATGGTGAGATCGATACTGAAATCGATGCTGAGGAAGATGTGGTGCTCCGAGGTGTCCCGCTATGTCCCGTGGTGTCCCAAAACGTGAGATCGATAGTGAGATCGATAGTGAGATCGACAGGTGTCCCGTGGTGTCCCGTTGAGTGAGATCGATAGTGAGATCGATATTGAGATCGGTGTGGTGCCCCGAGGTGTCCCATGGTGTCCCGTGATGTCCCAAAAAGTGAGATCGATAGTGAGATCGATAGTGGATCGACAGGTGTCCCGTGGTGTCCCGTGGTGTCCCGTTGAGTGAGATCGATAGTGAGATCGATAGTGAGATCGATGTGGTGTCCCGTGGTGTCCCGTGGTGTCCGATGGTGTCCCGTTGAGTGAGATCGATAGTGAGATCGATAGTGAGACCGATCGTGTGATCGAGAGGTGTCTCGCGGTGTCCCGTGGTGTCCCGTGGTGTCCGATGGTGCCCCGTTGAGTGAGATCGATCGTGAGATCGATGGTGAAATCGACAAGTGTCCCGTGGTGTCCCGTGGTGTCCCGTGGTGTCCCGTTGAGTGAGATCGATAGTGAGATCGATTGAATCAGATGTTGGTTCCCCCCCGTCTCCCCCCCCCACACAACCTCGTTATCACCCGAAGGGTGGTCGTATAGGTGTGTATATATATGTGTGTGTAGGTTTGTGTAGGTATGTGTGTTTGCCGTGCTTCAAATCCTGATGCGCCTCATGTTTTGGGCAGGCGTTCACTCATTCATGGGTTCGCAGGCATGTTGTGCTGTGGGCTCTTGGATCTGCAATTATGCGCGTGGCGGAATGCTAGACTGGTGAGGGATGGAGAAAAAAAGGCAGAGGAGGAGGACGAGGAGGAGGCGGAGGAGGAGGACGAGGAGGAGGAGGGGAGGAACAGAGGTGGGGGGCATGACTTCTTGATTCGTTTTGGACTCGGAGACGCATGATCGAGCACCCGAGTGGAGGGGCAGGACGGCGCATGGCTGGAAAAGGACCAAGCTGGGCCCAACTGGGCGCCTATATTATGTCGATGGAGGGGGAGCTGGAGGAAGCGGGAGACCTGCTTGAGGCAGGAACACGTAGCAGGATGAGGATGAGGATGAGGAATTGAGGGATGGTGAGAGAAAGAGCGTGAGGGCATGAACAATCGAGCAGAGGAGCCGAACATCACGAGGAACACCATTTGGAATATGAGGAGCAGTGCCGGCGGAACACTGTGAGTGAGGGGGTGAAGACCGAGCCCGAGGGACCTCAGCAGGGTGAGGATGGGCAGGAGGATGAGGAGGAGGAGGAGGACCAGGAGGGAAAGGATGCTGACGATAATGATTATGATGATGCTGCTGCTGCTGCTCCTGCTGCTGATGATACTGTTGAGGATGATGCTGATGATGATGATGATGATGATGATGATGATGATGATGATGATGATGATGATGATGATGATGATGATATTGATGATGATGATGATGATGATGATGATGGTAATGCTGATTATGATGATGATGCTGATGATGGTGATGGTGATGGTGATGGTGATGAGGATGAGGATAAGGATTAGGATGAGGATGGTGATGATGATTCTGGTGACGATGCTGATGCTGATGCTGCTGATGTCGATGACGATGACGATGATGATGACGATGAACAAGATGCTAATGTAATGTTGATGATGATGCTGATGCTGATGATGATACTGATGCTGATGCTGAGGATGCTGTGGATGATGCTGATGATGATGACGATGCTGATAATCATGATGATGATGCTGATGATGATGATGATTATAATGTCAGTGATGATGACGATGCTGCTGATGATGATGATGATGATGAACATGATGACGATGAAACTAATGACGATCATAATGATAATGATGATGATGATGATGATGATGATGATGATGATGATGGTGATGGTGATGGTGATGGTGATGATGATGATGATGGTGATGATGATGATGACGATGCTGATGCCATTGAGGAACATGGTGGTGGTGATAGTGATGATTGAGGGGATGAGGGTTGTGGTGATGGTCATTATGGTGATGATGATGGCGAGTGTGATAACGATGATGATGTAGATGACGGTGATGGTGATGGTGATGATGATCACAGTGATGCTGCTGGTGATTATGAGGATTGTGGGGTATAATCATGGTGCTGATGCTGATGATGGTGCTGATGCAGCTGCTGTTGATGACGATATGATGATGCTGATGGTGATGATGATGATGCTGATGATGCTGATGATGCTGCTGATGATGATGCTGATGATGATGCTGATGCTGATGATGACGATGACGCTGATTATGATGCTGCTGATGCTGCTGATGGTGATGGGCATGGGGATGCTGATGATGATGTGCAGAAGAGGAGACCGAGGATAATAGTTTGACGAAGAGGCCCAGGATGATAAACGAGGATATGTAAGGAAGCGAGCTTACGAGGGTGGCTGGGCTGTGCGGCAAGGCTGTGGACCCGAAGTCCAGGCACAAAGGCAAGCTGGATACCGAGGACGTGTCCTGCACTTCGGGCTCCTCCCCTCTCCTTTGGTAACACATGAGGCGTGTTTGCTGTGAACCTCCTTGTCACGTGCAAGAGCCGGGCACACGTCGCGTAGCTGTCCTCAAAGCAACACCGCACAACTGCAGGGCACGTGCACTCACTTGTGCCGCTGCTTGTGTGCCTTGGGACGCCTAGCTTTCACTCATCCCCCCACCCTCCCCCCCTTCCCGCTCCTCTTCCTCCTCGTCCTCCCCCTCCTTCCTCCCCCCCTGCAGTCATTCCTCCCCCTCCTCCGCGTCCTTCTCCTCCTTCTCCTGCCACCCCCCGTCCCCAGACCCCCGAGGTCATGACTTTTCCATAACGTCGACCCCCAAAGGTCTCGACCCTTCCCCCGGGGACCAGTTTTTCATCCCGAGTCGTTTTTTCGCCCGGACAGCCAGAAGGTATGGCGACGCGCCCCAGCGCGACCGAACGGGGTGCAGGGGCCAAGGACGAGGAGGGGAGCCCTGATTCTCGCGCCCGTTCAGACACGGAGCTGTGAGGATGAAGGCGAGAGGGCGGATGTAGAGGAGGAGGAGGAGGAGGAGGAGGAGGAGGAGGAGGAGGAGGAGGTGGAGGAGGAGGAGGAGGGAATGTCGGGAGGGGAGGGGGAATCAGGAGAGGAAAAACATACACAAACACAATGAATTGTCGATTCCCCAGAAAGTATGGGAAAATATGGGAAGCGGGGGGGATGACGAACATCCAAACAAGATGGAAGAATATGGGGAATCCTGGGATTTATGTATTTATGTGTGTGTTTCTGGGCCCCTTCAGGGGAGTGAGGGGCGAGAGGACGAGGAGGAGTCAGCTGTAGGGGGCCGTGGGCAGGGAGGGCGGCTTGAAGACCCGTGCCAGCTCAGACGTGGAGGAGGGAAGAAGGGCAGGAGGTGCGAGGAGCGGAGTGAGGTGGGAGGGCGTGGGAGGAGGGACGAGGATATACAGAGAAGGAGGGGCAAGGATATGCAGAAGAAGAGGAGCGAGGAGTGGGGTCGCGTGTAGCTCGAGACCCGCGCCAGTGCAAAGGTGCAGGAGGGAGGTGGGGTGCAGGAAGAGCAGAGTGGCCGGGACGTGGTAGGGTTGTCCAGTTGGCTTTCCGCGGCGTGCTTTTGGAGGCGTCTTGAAGGCTTGTCAGGCGCTCCTTCAGGCCCTCCTCTGGGCTTTGTGGGGCCTTTGGGCGGTCGTTGGAGGGTCTGGGGGCTGTCTTGGGCGCGGGGGTCTACCAGGCTCTAGCTGTTCTATCGGGTGTTGTGGCCATTTTGGAGCTCTCGGCGAGGTCTTGGGGCGTCTCATTGGTCATCTTGTGGCCGTCTTGGAGGATTGTTTGGGCCTTCTCGAGGATTGTTTGGGCCTTCTCTTGGGCCTATGTGGGAATTCGTATCACCGGGCCGGTGGGTTCTTTCCTGTGCAAATAGGTGGTGGATGCCCCAATTCCGCCGTCGGTAAACCTCTATATGACGCTTGCGCACCAAGCACTCGAATGGTGGCTACTCGAACGGGAAGTCAAGTAGCACCAGGTGTAGATATCCCGCTGCCGCCAGGAATTCCAGGGGGTCCTCCGCGCCGGGAATTCCAGGGGGTCCTCCGACTCGAACGGGAATTCCAGTAGCACCAGGTGTAGATATCCCGCTGCCTTTTGTACTTGTTAGTCTAGTCTCCGCCTCAGACACCACGATCTTTTACATCTCCTTTCACTTGCTTGAAGAAGATAATGAAATCTTTGGCAGACAAGCTAGAAACATGGGGTCGTCCAGTCGGTGGGCCCTCTTCGAAACTCTTGGGAGCATCTTTGAGCCACTGGGGGGCTCGTTGGACCGTCTTGAACTCGTCTTGGGTCAACTGGTCGGGTCTCGGGGTCGTTTTGAGTGATCTTTCAGGTTTGCTTGCGATGAGGGCGGAGTCGCCGAGGGGAATCTGCAGAAACCCAGGGCGGCGGATAAAGGATAAGTGATTAGGGTCAGGGTTCTTTCCGATGGAAGTTGGCTCCTGGCCAGGCCGGGAAGCTGTGTGCAGGATCTGGGCTGGAAGTGGGGCGGCGGTGGGTACTCTCTAATCCTTTTCCGAGTCCTTCTCTTCCCATCCGGTCCACTGCGTTGCATTGCTGTTCCCTTGCTACTGCCATACGTGCGCCTGTCACTTATACTATTATTCTCTTTTTCTTCCTGTTCGTCCTTCAAGCCCTGCTGATCTCGTGATCATGCCAGAAGTCATTGCCGAGGACATGCTCCGTTCCTCGGGATTGCCGTGGTGCTCTTTCCGGCCGACATACATCACAGGCGGGTTGCGCCTGGCTTTGCCAAGGGCAGGCCGTGGAGGGTGGCGTCTGTCTTTGCCATGCGCAGCGCCATCTTGTCAAGCCTCGTGTGAAGCTTCTCCGTTGCCCCCTGAAGCTCGGTTGGCTCGCAGAATGCGCAAAGTTCGCCCGTTATTTCTCCCAACTTGTGCAACCTGCGCTGTCATCACTACGACCACGGCCATCATGATCAACATCATCAGCACAATGATCATCAACACCATTATCTTCGCTATCGTCTTCATCCGCGGCAACTGGCTCTAGCTTCTTGACGCAGCATCGTCTGCTTGGTTCAGCGCGACACTTTTGAGGCTACCCTCACGCCGGGCGGCCAGATCACCGCAATGAGGGATCACCACCACGACGGAGCCGTAACTCTAGACGTTGGTGGCCGTATCTTTAAGGTTCTCCGATGGTTCATTCGCATCGCCCCATGCTCCATTCCTGAAGCTCGCGTCGGAAGGAGTGACGAGTGAATCGGCAGGATGATCTTCGCGCCTTCCCTTTCGCATCTTCCTCCCTCTATTTACGAGATGCGCTTGCTGAAAACAGTTCTGTAAGGTTCTCCGGCAGACCATCGAGGCTAGGCCTTCCACGTTGCTGGCGTGCCTGCTGGACGACATCGGCTTCGAGGAGGACATCCCGCTGTTCGTGGACGCCAACCCGGATCGCTTCGGGTACATCCTGGACTGGTACCGGCACGGCGAGGCGTTTCGTTCTGATCCTGCCCCTTCGCTCGAAGAAAGAGAAAAATCAGAAGAAGCAGCATAAACAGACATAAACATTCGGAGTTCTGGCGGATTTCTTGGACCTGCGCTGGGCCCCTCTCGCGGGCGCCTCCGACGCCGCCCTGTGCGCTCTTCGCGCACCAGAGAGGGGGGTGCAGCGCCGATCCAAGAAACCTGCGCGGAGCTCCGAAACTTTATGTTTATGCAAGTTTATTTTCCTTTACTCGATCTGCTTCTATTTCTTTTTCTTTTCTTTCTCCTTCCCCCACCCTTCCTCCTGGACTGGTGCGA